TCTCCAGTACCCGCTGCCGGCAGCAGAAGGCACTAGGTGGCACTGCGCTTCACCCTAACAGGGTTGCAGGCTCCCGGCTGGCAGTTACAGCCACGGGCTGTCAGCGGGAAGCGGGGAGAGCCGAGCACCAGCCCCGCAGGAGAAACAAGCGGGCTCTGTAAGTTCCCTGCTTTCAAAAGCTGCCTTCGGAGAAGGCTGGCTACAACACCCTCTTCATCTACAGCCCCTAAACTTTTCCTAATGGTACAGCAGACCCAGGAGTCTCTTAGCCATATCCAGCTTCTGCTAGTTACCTTTTTCAGGCTCTGTAGAGCCATTCTTCTCCCCAGCTGTACAGGCGACAGCCTGAAAGTCACAATTCCACCAGGCAGCCCAATCCTGCTTCTGTAAATCTGATGCAATGAATCAATTGATCTCTGAAGAGCAGCAGTTACTAGAGAGGCCCTTGGCAAACCATACAGAAACCAGGAGGACGTGTAGAAGGCGATACTGGCTCCTGCAAACCAGCAAAGGGCTATATGTTCTGACATAAAGACAAGTTATGCCTAAAGTGTGTAGGAAGGAGTGAGCTGTAGGACTGTTCCCCGCCCGCTCCACGTCTAGCTGAGCCCATCTATCTCGGCGCTGCGCTAATGTATCCGCCACAGCACTACTTAGGCACCAAATACCACATTAAATAATTGATCATCATAAATCACAGCCCCTGGGAGTGGGAGAGCTTCTGGATGACGCGAGATTGCAGCTCGTAGGCTTGTGTAGCAGGCAGAGGGTGGCCGGGGCTCAGGGTCTGTATCCTGACCGTGCTGGTGTACCCTGGATCGCCTTGGGGGAGGTGCAGGCTTTTCCAGCTCTGTTGTCTGTGAGAGACTTGATGTGAATTTGCTCAATCCTAAAGCTGCCTCAAGATCTTCTCATCAGCTTTTCCTTCTGCTTCTACCATAATACAGGACAGTTTGGTAAACAGACTAGCCAATTGCTGTGTAACTGAGGAAATAAACATCCAGATGAGCAGAATTCCCTACTCCAGGGCACTGGGGCTTTTTTGACAAGTTGGCTCACAGGAGAACAAGTTTTCTTGAGGTGAATAATTTGATACCTGGACACCTCTTAGGTGAGACTCAGAAACACCCTGAGGAATCTCAGCCTTCTGCTGCAGGGAGGAATCTGCCCTTCAGGGGAACACGTAGGTTCTCCCCAGAAGCATCAGACAGCATCTGTGCCAGAGGCGAGATGCCTGACTGGGTGGGCCAATGGCTTGTTGAGGTCTAGAATTGTGTCTGAGGGCACTCCACAGGAAAGAGTCTCTGGAGCAGGCATGTTCAGCACAGCCTGTTCCTTACTCAGCCATGCTCTGGCGTTCATCTGCGGGACCAATGCCCTGGGTACTTACACCATGCTAAAGAGTCAGGGACAGCTTAAATTCGTTGGGCTGCTGCTCTCAGGCACTTGCTGCAGCCCCACAAGTGCCCAGCCACCGTGTCAGAGACACATCCTGCCCCTCACTGTGGTCCTTCAGCTCCGGGAAGGAGCCTGCGGTCAGTGCAGCTCCCAGCACTGAGCGTTAAACTCCCAGTTATCCTATTTTACAAATCATTTTCATGCAAAGTTTGTAACTCAGCTGTAAATACTTGCTCTCAGTCTGGAAGAGCATCTCTTTGTCCCCATGTGTGCAGAGTTACACCTCAGCAAAGGTGTAAGTCCCGCTGTGTGACCAAACTGCAAGAGTGTCACTGTCCCAGTGAACAGTGTCTCAGGTCAGAGAGGGGGCACTTGGGATTTTGGTGTCTGGGCACACAGGGAGCAAACTGGGAGCCAGGTGACCTGTCCTGGCACGTGGGTGCCTCCTGAGTTGGTCTGCTCTTGTTTGAGCCTGTAGTCTTTGGAAAAAACCAAGCTCATGAGTATGAATTTAATGACTAACTTCCCTGGAAAGCCTCGCAGTAGGAGAGACCGAGGCCAGTAGCTGCTTCTGGGGAGATGGAGAAGGGTGCTGGGTCTAGCAAGCAGGATTGCAGGCAGTACGTCTCGCCCGTGCCACTATCTGCCCGAGTGACCTGTGCCAAATCACACACCTCTGTCCCACACCGAGGGAAGGGGCTGTTGTCACTCCCTGCCTTATTTTAAACCCCAACAAGACCCACTGCTTCGGCTGTGCGTTGCGACACGCTGGGAGGTGAGACCCTACCAGCCCAGTGTCCCCGTTGCTGCGTCACGCCTGCGCTCCCCGATCGCCGGTGTGCAGGGAGCCTGCCCGTGGATTGCGCCGCACGTCCCGGAGATCTTCCTCTGCGGGAATCGGTCTGCGTTTCCCCTCCAGCTGCTGAGTCAATTCCCGGTGGCGGCTGTATCTGCAGGAGGATTGGGACTGCTGGGGGGGCTGTTACTACCCGGGGGGAAACGTGAGGGGTCATAAAACCCCTGGAGTGGTTGAGGATTTGGCCACAGGCAGGATGCGAAAAGATCAGCGCTCGGTTTAGCCTGGCTGGGCACTTAACCTTGAAACCTCTGTGCTGCTGGGAGGGGAAATGGCTGGGGGCTGTCTGGGCATGGCAGGCTCCACGGTGGCTGCGCTGAGCCTGGAGAAGGGTCAGAGGCTCTGACATCCACGCGATGAACTGGGTCACTTGTTGGGTTTGGAGGGGATCCCAAACCAGGCTTCTCGGGAAGCGTTACCTGGTGAAACTCTTTTCAGGCTCCTGAGTCAAAAGCAGCAGGAGGGGAGGGTGGCTGCTGGAGTTGTGGGGTTCACACTTGTGGGGCTTAGCAGCCTGAGGCTCACTGCTGGGCTCCCCAGGCTTGTCCTAAGCATTTGGGCTTACAGCTCTTTGTTTTCAGGCTGGGATAAAATTTCCCTGCTGACAGGCAGCATTCCTCCCTGGGGAATTTTTCCGGTCCCTCTCGTTCCTGCCTAGCCATGGGCTGATGGTGGGACCTGGGATCACATCCAGCTTCTTTCCACCATGGGTCCTGAAGCCACAGCTTTCTTTGGGCTCCTCTCCTGGGAAGAGGAAGGATGCACTGGCACTTCGATGGCTAGGCAGAGCTTTCTCTGAGGTCTGTCATTTTGCAGCTTTCCCTCCGCTGCGGAAGTGTTCGTGGTCACACTGCAGCTTCCGAGACGGGAGCCCCAGCGCTGGCCCAGCCAGACCCACAAGCCCTCCCGGTTACCCTGGTGAAGCTGAGCAGAACAGTTTATTCTTCACCCTGGGGCTGGTGTTCGTTACCTCCAGGAGCCTTACAGCGTCTCTTTTCTCATTTGTGGCAGGTCCAGGCAGATGGGACGGACGGTAACTGCGTCACGTTTGTGTTGCACGATGAGGACCACACGCTCGGCAACTCCCTCCGATACATGGTCATGAAGAAGTAAGTGGAGCCTCTGCGGTGCCTGGCATTGCCGAGGGTACGTGTCTCTTACTCTGGCCATCTCCTTCCTCGTCTGCATCCCAGCTGGAGGAGGGCAGACGATCAGAAACTCCCTCTGTACACACCTGGTAGGGTGTTTATGTCAGACACAGTGCCAAAGACTCCTCGCAGGATTAACTTCTTCCTTGTGCTATTAGTGCCAGGAGCCCCGAAAGCTTTAGTTGACCTTAATGGGCCCATGCAGGCCTCCATTCACACCCTGCCCCTGGGCCCAGGAGCCCCATTTCAGCTCAGCTCAGGGCTTTCAGTCCCTCCTCTGCTCTGCTGTAGGAGTGTGGGTCTCCAGCTCAGCCTGTACTGGGCTGTGGACTCCGTTCACCTGGATGCTGACCCACAGACTGACTTCCTGGCCTGACATCTGCCCTTCCTCCTCATCCTGTACCTGCTTGGTGGTCACTGACCCTCAGTACCCTCACCCCACTTGCAGTCTGACTTCCTACCTGACCTCGGGCCTGCTTCAGCCCCACAAACCTGCACGATGATCTGGACCCTTGGCTGACCCTCCCTACCACCTTTGCACTCACCCTGCTCCCTTGCTCGGGTGCTGTGGGACAGGGCTGGCTGGTGAGGCCTCTGCCCTGTCAGCTCTCTTACTGTTCATGGCTCCCAGCTCCCCATCCCTTAGGGAACAGCCACCCTCGCGGCTCCTTGACGGTTAGTCACAGAGGAAATTTAGTGTCTGGCACGTGAAAGATTTCCGAGTTTCTTTCTTGACCTTGGGTACAGTGATGCACAACTCCATGGCATGTGGTCAGGTAGCATCTGTGTCTCCTTCTGCGACAAGCCCTGGCAGAAAAGAGGGTAGGAATAGCTAATGTTAAGCAAATGCTGGGAATTAATTATCCTGCTGTCCCATCACAGTATACCAATAGGTTCACCCTCGTTTCTGGATTTACGGAAGCGGGCAGCGCGGAGTGCTTGTGCAGATCTGCTGGTACGCCTCAGCAGAATTACAGCAGGAGGTTCAGTGCATCACTTGCAATGACTGTTACCTTGCACCTCGTGTGAACCCCTTGATAAATCACCAGCAGAACAGCAGGCTTCTTGCAAGGGGCTGTTCTTCCTGCTGGGTGCACAAACATTCTACCTCAGCTTAGGAAGGCGGGTGCTGCGCAGCCTGCGCACCCGCTCGGTAAATCCTTGCGGTGCCTAGTCCCATTGACAGCTTTTCCCTAGAACTGCAACAGGTTTGTCTACGTGAGGTTTCCAAGCACCATTGGATCGTGCCAGCCATGTCCTTCTGCTGCAGAGCCCCAGCTGCACCTCAGAGAGAGGTGAGGCCACGCAAATAAGGTTACACAGGGAGTTTCCCTTCATCATATCCCACCCAGAAGACCCCTAGTCATTCCATAAACAGCCTGAGCCTGGTGGGTGTGGGCTGGCCTGAGCCTCTGATTTTCCTGAGATTTGCTGTGGATTGGCCTGGGTTTCACTGCTCTCTTCTCCCCTCCTGCAGCCCCGACGTGGAGTTCTGTGGCTACTGCATCACACACCCCTCTGAAAGCAAGATCAATTTCCGGATCCAGACCAGAGGTACACGTGGGCGTGTTTCTTTCATGTCCAGAGCCCTCCTTTTGTGGAATTCCCCCTGCTCTTGTCAGGTTTCCACCATGAGTCATTTAAGTAAAGAAAAGCACTTTTCTGCCTTGCTTCTGCTGGCCGCCTGCAGCCGCTCTGCCCTGTTGCCCACCCGGAGAGGCTGCTCTGAGCCACTGTCGTAGAATGGTTTAGGTGATGCTCCGAGGGCTGGAGTCCCTCTGCCATGGGGACAGGCTGGGAGAGTTGGGGGGTTCAGCCTGGAGAAGGGAAGCTCCGGGGAGACCTCAGAGCCCCTTCCAGTGCCTGGGGGGCTACAAGAAAGCTGGGGGGGCTTTTCCCGAGGGCAGGGAGTGACAGGACAAGGGGTAACGGGTTTAAACGGAAAGAGAGAGATGGAGATGGAACATCAGGAAGGAATTCTTCCCGCAGAGGGTGGGGGGCTCTGGAACAGGTTGCCCAGAGAAGCTATGGATGCCCCGTCCCTGGGAGTGTCCAAGGCCAGGCTGGATGAGGCTTGGAGCAACCTGGGCTATGGAAGGTGTCCCTGCCCATGGCAGGGGGTGGGGCTGGGGGTGATTTAAGGCCCTTTCCCACCCAAACCATTCTTTGATGGCTCTGAGCCTCTTGCAGTCCTTCTCTCCTCCCAACCCACCAACCCCTCCAGCTTAGTCCACCACTGTCCATCCAGGTCTTAGCATTTGACTGCTGCCTGGAGAGGGGGTGGTCTTTCCTTCCTTCTAAGGGGCTGTTCGCTTCAGTGTCAGATATGTTGAAGCCACTTCCTAGAAGCAATTAGCTAGTTTGTGCTCGCTGCCTCTTTCATTTCCTAACATGAATTCGTGCTCTGGCTGTTTTGCCGCGCCGCGGGAACCCCTTCCCCTTGGGACTGACTGCAGGGTCTCCTGTTCCTGTGCCGCAGCCTGGCCCACCGCACTGAGCTGCTGCTGGTGGGAGGGACGTAAGAGCCTCCCCCCATCACCAGCACTGCCCTGGGGCATGGTGGTGACAGTCCAACCCCATTGGAAGCCACCCCCCATTTCACTAGCACATCTTCTTTCCCGAAGGGTCTCTTCCTGCCGTTGAGCCATTCCGGAAGGGGCTGAATGACCTGATGGGTGTTTGCCAACACGTGCTCAACACCTTTGAGGTGAGACTATTCCCAAAGAGCTTTTCTATCTCTCGGTCTCAGCGGGGAGAGGGATGGGCTGGGACTGTGTGGTTGGCGCCTGTGGCATGAAAACCTCTAGTTCTTTCAGGCGCTCTCTGCCTGACGTGGCGTGGTCTGCCTTCCTTTCCCTTGGAGAGACTGTAAAGCTCAGTCCCTTCGGAAAGTACCTGGGGCTCTGTCAGCTTCTCGGGTCCCCGAGCCGTTGCAGGCAGGGGGCAGGGAGCGCGGAGTCACTGTGTATCTGGGTCACTCGGATGCGTGCTGTTAACGTTTGTCCTTTGCTCTTGTTTGCAGAGGAGCATGAAGGAATACAGGGCCCAGAGGGAGGAAGAGATGCAGTAGCGTGTGGGGATGGCGGTCCCGGTGGATGTGTGTAATGCCTGTGTGTTGAATTCCTTGTGTCTGGTGGTTTTATTTGCTTCGGGTTTTTTATGACTGCTTTGATGCAAATCTGTATTTTGTCTTAATAATAAAGTTTACCAAGTTTTAGTGATGCTGCGTTTGGCTCGACGTGGGGATGGAAGGTGACAGCTGGAAGGCAGCTCTTCCGTCTTGGTTCTTTCCGAGTGCCGTTGCGGTTTCCTGCCCGGGATTGTCAGATCACAGGGGCTGCAGGTAGGCTGCTGCGCAGAACCACTCTGCCCCAGAGCCCATGGGGAGCAAAGGGGGTGTGTGAAATTAAGCTTTTAGAGGCACCACCCCCTACCAATTCAAATCTTCCTGTTACTGGCACCGACGCAGCCGACTTTGGCAGGCATTTGCCCTCCTTTTTCAGCAGATCAGTGCAGAATGATGCTCAGTTCACTTGGCGGCCACGGGGAGCGAAAAACCACGTGCCTTTTTTAACCCTCTGCAGAATGCAGACAGGGGCAGGCCCAGCCCGCCCTCATGAGCAGGGGTAAGGGGTGCAGCACTGAAGCCCTGGCCCTGTTGGGACCTGCTGGCGGCTGAGCGAAAGCCTGTCGTTGAGCGTGACGTGGCGTGAAATTGCAGGGGTCTCTGCTCCGTGCCAGGCGTGGGACTGCGAACCTTTCCGGTGTGCTCCGCGCGGGGGGGGGGCGCCGCTTGTCTCTTCAGCTGCCAGAGGAACCCGCTGACGCTCAGTGAAGCATTTAGCAGGGTTTGCAGACCCCCTGCTGCTTAATAAGAAACACCCAGAGATTTCGCTTTCGAACACCAACGTGTTTTATTAACGTACAGAGGAGTAAGGGGGAGGCTGTAAAATGTCAGTTTTCTCTATAAAATCCCTCTTTCAAATGAACTGACAGACCTGGTCGCTCTGCCAGGCCGGTGGTGGGGACGAGGAGCCGGCTGAACCCTACACGTCGTAGTAAGGTTCCTGTGCCTCAGTTTGCTGCCGTGGATTCATCCTGCGGTGCCAGCACGGCCCCGTGTCCAGAGTGGGTAGCTGCTGGGGCTTTGCTTTTGGCTCCCTTTGGTTTTGGCTCCCAACCCAAACCCTTCTGTGATTCTCCAGGTTGTCCGGGCTGCAAGGGCACTGACCCAAATCAATTTGTCCAGATGTGGACAAATACAGAAATACGTGGAATTCAGATGTTTCCAATAAGCACAATCTCCTCAAATACCTGCGCTGGGATGTTTCGGTTTCCTCCGCTGACATCCTGTGCCCACCGAGGAGGTGCTGCCAGCCCTAGGGCAGAGCACAGCGGCAGCGCTGCGAGGCCACGCTGGTCTGGATATTCCTTGTCTCTCTGGTTTCTGGGGACCCGTTTGTCTTCCTGAAGGGTGATCTGTTTGTAAAACGTTTGCATCCCAGTGAAAGCTGAGCTAAAAAAACCAACCCCAACCTGTGGAAAATGTTTTGCTTTATTTGCAGGTCTTTCTCATCTCCCTTTTTCCTCTCTCCGTTTTTTTTCCGTGGCAAGATGAAAAGGGGGATGAAGAAGGAAAGAGAGGGAAAAGAGAGAAGAAAACACCCACAGAAAAATCATCAAAACCTTGGTAACTTTCTAAAAGTTTTGGGAGGAGGTGCAAGCGTGATGCTTTGGAGAGACGCAGAGCGCTCGGGGATTAATTAACAGTCAGTTTGTGAAAGCTCTTTGCCATCTTTCAATTAGCTCCAGCGGCCCCTTCAGCTGAGATCGGACCTTCCCTGTTGCCTTTTCCACCTTAGACCATGAGGACGAGCATCTCTGTCCCCCTCCAGGTGACCTGAACCTTGGTGTCACGGTGCTGTGGGCAAGGCGCATCGGGGTCCAGCCCCACTGCCCCTTGGGGCTCAGCCCTGGCAGAGGGGAGGCGGCTACGGGTGTCAAACTGCCGGGCACCCCATTGTTTCCCCCCAGAGCTGTGGCCTTGCAGGCGATCCCCCTCCCAGGAGCCAGTGGCTGAGGGAGGCTGTGGACTTTCCGCAGCCAAAGACCATGGATCAAGGCTGGAAGGGCACATCTCCTGGATCCTCTGCCTTGCATCCTGTGTCAGGCAGAGAATTAGCTGCTTCCAGTTGATGCCGGGGCGCTGGAAAGGTGAGGGCTGGATCCCTGGTCCCAGCCTCATCCGGGTTTGAGCCATCTCTGCCTTCCCTTTCCCGGACTTACAACTCTTTGCTGGAAGGACAGCCCCTTGGGACAGCAACGGTGTCCGGCTAGCCAGGAGCTCCCTGGCCTTGGGGAGGGGGAAGCTGGAGCCGACAGTTTGGCTGGATGCTGCCACCAGCTTCTGCCAAGGGCAGCTGGTCCCCTGAGCCGTGCTGTCGCCTACAATCCCTTTCTTGTGCCATACGCAGGCGGGGTGAACATCACCCCTGGGTGGGGAGCCTGGGGCACATTTCCCAGGAAAAGGTGAAGAGGAGGGGGTATTTTGGGGCTCCCCAGGCCAGGTTGGTCACACGGTGAAGCTGCGTTACTGCCCATCTCTCCCTGCCATGAGCAGGAGGAGATTTCGTGCCGTTGGTGTCTGCCAGACATGCATGGTGCCTGGATCTTACCCTGGCGCTCTGCCTTGGGACAACCTGTCTTGGCCACAGAGGGAGGTGATAGGGATGTTATCAAGGCTGTTCTTTGGCTGTTTCAGCTGGAAATTGTCACTCATGGTCCTCTCCCTCTCGTCATCCCCCATACATCTCGAAGTGACCACATCTCACCCTTCCTTCCCTTGTCACACACATTTCCCCACCCACATTTCCACCCGAGACCAATGACAGTAAGTCACTTCATTTTCCTGTGCGGAAATGAAAAGTCCTGTAAGGATCTGAATCGCCTTCCCCCTCCTCCAGAGGCAACTGGGACCAAGAGGACGGATCGGTGGGGTTCAGAGCTAGTCCCAGGGGTCCGTGAAATGCTGCGGCTCCTTCCGGGTGGGTTATGACACGGAAGGCAAAAACGATTCAGGCCCAGCCAGGGAACGGCCGTGCGAGAGAAACGGAGGGGTCCTGGCACCCTGGCACAGCGCCTTCTCCTCTCGGCCCCGCGGGTGCCGTGGCTTTAGGAAGAGCTGTACTTGTTACTCAAGCGGGAACTGCTCCGGTCCAGCCCAAGCTCCTGCCCGTTGGCTTTCCACTTGCCCACGGAGCCCTTCTCGTCCGTCGGCGTGATGCTCAGGGCCGGTCGCTGGCACCAGCAGCACAGGCAGGACTGCGGGGAGGCAAGAGGGTGGAGAGAGCGGTTACGAGCGTGGGCTAGAGGGTAGAAGACGAGGAAAGAATCCCTTACTGGCACCTCAACCTGCGCGGCGCCACGCTGGGAGCGGCAGCCTGGGCTGCTGAGCCTTGCTGGCCCACAGGTCTGTGGGAGCAGGTTTTCCAGGTTAGGGCTGGTGTGGGTTGGAGGTGAAGGTACCGAAATCTTAGGTGCCTTTTGCAGTTGTGTTTTCTTGTCCCTGGGGGACAGAAATTACGGGTAATGCTTATCTGGGCTCAACTCTTCTTTTTGCCACAGCAGCTGGGAGGTGACTCCTATTCCCATCCCATGCCAGGGCTCCACTGCTCCTGAAACTGCTCTCTGAATAACTTGGGCTTGAAGGTTAAAGCAGCGCCAGTCCCTGGTTTGTGGGGATGCTTCTGATCCAGAACGACAGGGACCTTTGGGGCTTGTCCTAGTCCTGCACTGACAAAAGCCACCCCATAGCCGGGCAGCGAGCTCCGGTGTACTTGAAGCTGGGAAGAGAGGGACCCAGCAGGGGGAAAATTTGGGAGGATAAATATGATCAGTATAGGAGCAGCTAGGGGAATGCTGTGGGCTGCTGGCAGCCCCAGCGTGTCCCTGATGGAGCATTTCTCTGGGAGACAGGAGCTGCGG